ATCTACTTTTTTTTTTCTTGTATGTTTTTGTACTTATGATTCTAAAATGTCACTTTAGCCTTCCCATTTGTTGGTGGTTGGGCCTGCTTATTGGTGAGCTTAATTTGCTTGAAAGGGATCAGCTGGAGTCTAACAGCTATCGAAATGGCTCAAGACAGCAATTGAACAGGCGAGCTCCTCTTGGCCGAGGCGCTGCCAGCCTGGGCTGCTGCTGTCCTGCCCTGGCTGTGCTCCGCGGGGAGCCGCACTCAGCGGGACCTGTTGCCCTCTTCCCGGCTCCCATCCGCCTTCYCTTGCACACCTCGTGGGCACTCAGATCCTCTGGGCCTCCTTTCGGTTAGACTTTAGGGAGAGTCCTTTCTCCTGTCCTTCGATGGGGATGTAAATAGTGATTTCTTTCAGCAGTGGCAAATTGTTCACCAGACAGAGGTTTAGGAGGATTTTGTGGGCTAAAAAAGGGCAGAAAACCCGATTTCCGAGGCTGACTTACCAAAGGATCAGTTCAGTGACAAGACAGGACAAGACAGCGCAGTCCAAGTGTTCAGTAGCACTGAATGAGAATGCTAAAACAGAGTGTGCAGCCCGCGTGCCCTGTAAGGGGAATGCAGGCACCCGGAGCGCAGCCCGCCGCCCAGCGACAGCTGCCTTCCCACAGCTCCCTTCTCTGCTGAACTCACTGGGTGCCAGCAAGTGGCAGCAAGGGCTGGAGGTCTGGGTTCCAAAGGGAAAAACCGCTGTCTTCCTYTCTCCAAAAATAAAAAAAAGTTTTGCCACCACCTTCCCCTTTTCTCCCTGTAGTTCCAAGGTAGATGCACTCATCAAAATGGCAGTGCAAGATGTGAGGCGAAACAAAGACAAATTTTAATGGTCCTGGGGACATTAGCAGGATGACRTGTTGTAGCTTTCCAAGGGCTTGGCTTCTCTATGTTGCGCCTGGGCATGAGAGGATTTCTCATTTACTTTTATGTGTTTTCTAATAAAAATGAAACAATCCAGGCAGTAGATTTCTGAAAGAATATTGCATTTCATGGATGGTTAAAGCCACTGCTTATGAGCAATGTGATTTAATGCCAATCAAGCTGCTTTATATCTAGAATGTGCTTTGCATTATGTTGGAGTGATTCATTATCTGTTTCATGTTGGCTGTCTGGTGTGTAATGTGTGTGTGATCCCTGTAAAATGCCTGCATTGTTCGCAGTTTTCAGAGACTGGGGCAAGGAAGATCCAATTATTTCCTCACCTCTTCTTGTACCCTCCTTCCTGAAGCTCTTGTGTTGCTCATGGTGCTCATCACTCTGTGCTGCTCTTTGCTCTTTGAGGAACTAATGCTTTGCAAGAGTTGATTCATTCTCTGTCAGGAAGCATAAACTCAAAGGTCTTTTAAAAATTTACTCAGTTGCAYAGATGTTTAAAATAATCCCTATTTGAAAATTCATATTTTATCTGGTCAAAAAAAGAGAGAGAGAAAAAAAAATCTTTAAAATATGGCAGAATTTCCCATAATATGAGTTGGCTTTCTGGTGCCAATGGTAGGGCTGTGGTGCCACTTTGCTTTTGGAAGCTTCTTGGCAGAAAGATTTTGCAGAAAAATTCGCACAATAAATAAGCACTGTGGGTTGTGCCATGGTAGCTGCTGGAGTGAGAGCACARCCACAGAGTGTATCAAAAAGGAAGAGCCAGAATAGTCCTGAGGCATTAATTCATACAAAATCCTTTCCACCAAGTCAAAACAATTATTAGAAGTCTGGTCTATCTTTTAGCATCATAGACCTGTAAACCTTGGGAAGATGGAGAGCTAGTTCATAATGCAGCTATCAGAGAGCCACAAAACATGAATGTAAAATCATCATGGCCACACACAATAAGCTGCTGGACGGTTAAACTCAGTGCAGCTCTTCTCTGGGCAGAAAATCTGCCACTGATAGAAATAAGACTGAACAGTTCTATCATTTGTCACCTAGTTAACACTCGGTTAAGATGTTAGCAGACACAAATGCTGGTTTTAAGGGCAAGGCTTTCTCCCAGGTGGGTGCCTCTGGCTGCACTAATGTAGCCATTGAGACCAGAAAGGTCTTCTGGAAGGCCAAGACTAAGTGGGCAAGTGCTCAAACTCTGGCCTGTAACCTGCTCAATCTGGCACATCCTACTGCCTGTTCAAACTGGTCATCTGTTTGCAAGTGGATGTTTCTGAATCTTCCCGACTAATACTTCTAAGCACAATAATTCAGTGCACATTGCTATGCCCCATAGTTTAGTGCCAGTGGCCTAAAGAAGGAATCTAAGAATGGAGCAGTGCCTCTCAGGAACATACCTTCTCCTTCTACCTCAGCTTTTAAGAGGGAAATAGAGAGAGACGGACACTGTCAGGATTTAGTTAGCAAAGTTAGACCAAAACTGTCCACCTCAAATTTTTAATAATAAAATTCTAAAACTGAGGTCAGTGGACAGCACTTGGGCTTTTGAGAATGAAGGGATATAAGATCTCGACTTCAGCCTCCAAATTTAAGAGAAATCTCAATCATTGTGGTCTTTCTTGTCAGCTGCAAATGTTCACTGGGTAGCCATTAAATCATAATTTTCATCCATGGAAAAGAAGCATATATGTAAAGACTGGAAAGATGTTTSTCACCACTTCAGTCCCCATTTGACAGGAAACATGAGTATAAATTTAAGATTGCTTGTAATCTAGGTACAGACAAATAAATAATACCTATGGAAAACATGTCCAACTTCAGGTGGACTAAGCGTACTCCACATTGGCACTGTCCTGTACATTGAAACTGCTTCTGAACTTCTCTGCTTTTTTTTTTTTTTTTTTTTTTTTAAGGTAGCACTGGCCACTGCTGCAAAAGAAAAGTGAAAGTAAATGAAAGAATATGAAATAAAAGCTGGCAATATTGATATTTTTGGAATAATATGGATTCAGACAGAGAGTTTTGAGGGGGAGTAGTTTTGTTTTTGTTTTCAGATGATAGTGCAGCATGATCCCTACCTGTGTGTTTTGAGGAGATAATTAGAGGATTTAACCTGCCTGGATGCCACCTCGTGCCCCGTGCTCTGGGTGTTCGTGCTAGACCAGGGGGGTTGGACTCGATGGTCTCTAGAGGTCCCTTCCAAACTCAACCATTCTGTGATTCTGTGATTTGTAATCTTCTACTGGTTTGATCACAACTTCTGCTCGTGACATTTTGTAATGAGTATATAGCTTATAAATAACATTTTGAAAGTATGAGGTTATACAGAGATAATTGCACAGCTGAAATACATTGGCACAAGGCCAAAGGCTAAGCACCTTCCACCATCTCTTCTAAATTGAATAACTTCACTTTATGAAGTGTATCATCAGAAATTGTTTTTATTACTCCCAGAGGGCAATTTAAGGTTAATAAAAATCCAATTCCAGACTACCCATATATGTGAATATTTGTATTTTTAGAACCTTTCTCTGTCGATTGTGTTCCTCATGTAGCATACATGTACAAATACGAGCATGTAGGTCGTAATTTCTGTTCGTGTGTTTCTACTGTCCAGAGTTTCTATCTCTCTGGCAGACTTTCTCAAAGTATAATTGAGACCCCCAACAGGCTTTTCAAACTGAGCAAAGCTAAACAGAGACCTTTCATCAAGCAGTTGTTTGTCACATCCATTTACTGCCACCATCCTGGATTCCATTTGCCCCACACTGTAACCATTTGCCCCATTTTCTTCAGTCCACAAAATGAGGATGTAAGTACGCTCTTTGTTAGAATTTGAAGTGTCATCTTCAAGCAAGGCAACCTGATATTCTGTGGGCTCTTCAGCAATCTAAGGAAACCTTCTAGTAAAGGAGAATTGGAGGGGAAAGTTCATTCTTACTCTCGCTGTCATAAATTGGTTACGTTTGTCATCTGAAATAGTACAGGTGACATATTGAAGTCACCGCTTCTAGGACTCTGCTTTTATCATGTTGGATTAGACTCGTGCTGCACGTGTTTTCTCGCTCGCTCTGCTGCCCTGTGCCCACCTCCTCTGCCCTCTCCTCCTGCAAGCGCACATGCCTCATCTAGGGGCAGCTGTTTCTGCCTGTCACTGCAGGAAACAACGCTAGTAATAATAAACAGCTTAAGGAAAAAAAGAAAGAAAGGGTCTAATGTGTACTAATATCTGCCCAGGATAATCTGGGTACTTTTGYTTCCATGATTTTACTGACTTAAAAAAAAATCTGTGCAAACTTTTAGCACRCATAATACCTTATGTCTGAATCAGCCCTTTTTCTAGCATTTTGAAGAGTTGCTTTTCCATCTAGATATTAAGGAACTCATAAATTGCCTTTATTGATCTTCATTCATTGAAGATGAACATTCAATGAAGATGTTATGGGGCTACTAGGGCTATGAGGATGATCAGGGGTCTGGAACATCTGCYSTGTGAGGAAAGGCTGAGGGAGCTGGGCCTGTTCAGTCTGAAGAAAAGAAGGCTGAGAAGGGGGACCTGATCAGTGTCTTTAAATATATCAAGGGAGGGAGTGAGGAGGAGGGGGCCAGCCTCTTTTCAGTGGTAGCCAGCRATAGGACTAGAGGAGACTGCCACAAACYGAAGCATCAAAAGTTCCACAGGAACTTAAGGAAAAAATTCTCGACAGTGAGGGCAATCAGAGCACTGGAACAGGCTGCCCAGAGAGGTTGTGGAGTCTCCTTCTCTGGAGATCTTGCCTGAATGCAGCCAGTGCCACGTGCTCTAGGTGATCTCTAGAGATCTTTTTCAACCTCAACCATTCTGTGCTTCCATGATTCTATGGTTCACTCATACTTCTCCTCCAAGTGTTCCTAATTAGGAACATGCTTTTCCTTTCCAATGCTTTGTTCTCACTATTGGGACTTTAATGCACTGAGCGTATTAATTAAATAATGTTACTATTTATGAATCTATGCAGGCTGTTGTATATTGTTGCAATAATGATGTTGCATATTTTTTTTTTTTTTTGCTGGACAAAAGAATATTCAAACAATTTTCCTCTAAAGGTCATTGACATGCCAGAACACAATCCTGGAGATATGGGTGGAACTATGAGACTGGGGAAGAGGAAGACTGTTTTTAAAACACCAAATTCTGTTTTAAGTAAGTATCGGTTTGGCTATTGTTGCTCACCTTTTGGATACACTAAGCAAAACAAAAATGTCAAAGCTCTTTTTGTCAAAGCAAGTTGTTCAATGACAGCTCCCCTGAGCTCATACATTCTGATCCTGTTTCATATACATGTACCCTGTACACGTACTAGTAAAAAAAGTGAGTTAAAACCTGATGTGCTAAATTGCTTTAATAAGCCATGAAGATACTTTTCAAATAACTGAAATCAATTTTATATAAATAGTTTTGATTTAAATACTTCATTATTTTCATGGGGAGGTCAGAGTGTAAGGAAATGCTAAGGATATATCTCTACTCAGCTTTCCTTCTGATTTTATTTGAGTTGATAGGATTTTAAATGGTGCATCATAAGAATAGTCATGTATGTCAGAGCAATGGTCTGTCAAGTGCACCACCTTATCCCTAGCAAGAACTAAAAGCAGATGCCTGTGACAGACTGCAGAAACAAGACATACATGCAGCAATACCTAGTATATTCTTGCAGTAAATTCAGTGTCCAGTAATTTGCTGTTCCAACTTCCTGAAATGCAGAGAGTAGCTTTGTGCTTAATGAAGTCTGTTTTTTTTTTATGAAATTAATCTAATTGTTTTTTAGTTTTTGCAAACTTTCRGCATCTGCATTATCTCCTGGCAGAGCTCTGCATTTCTGTGTGTCGTGTGAGGATGTGCCTATCTGGTTTCGTTTGCGTTGAGCCTGCTTCCCAGATATTTTCATTGGTGTCTCTGCTTCTTATTATTAGAGCTGTGTCTTCTATTAAATTGATACAGTCATCACCACACAGTGCCTTTTGCTGTCTCCAATGTGAAGCAGAGCTTCCTCTTCCTTTGAACTTCACAGCGAGTCATTCAGTACCCCTCAGCCTTAAACATCCCAGTCCCTTTAGTCYTTGTCTTGTTTTGAGGATATATGCTGGTCTGGATCCTAAACCCAGTCAGGCCCTGCTGATATCCAGTCTCTGACACTTCACTGTTCTAGGCCTAACCCAGTCCTGGAAAAAGTCTTGATTGGAGAAAGAATTTTTTTTTGGTAAGGAATTAAGTGTAGATTATTTGCTGTAACAAAAAACAAAAACAAAAACAAACAAAAAAACCTGCCAAGAGGCAAAGCAACCACAGCATAGAAAAAAAAAWGATTCAATTTGAACTATATGTATTTTAAAATTGCAACATTTGATTCAAGTTCCGTGTTAATGGGTCTATTTTACAGTAGTAATATAAGCAATGGTGAAATACATATAAAATAGTTTCTTATTCATGAACATATGAGGGTATATGCCCTGTATTACTCTACCTTTGACATTGATCTAAGTTATTAGTATATTTAGCTTAATCAATCTTACAAAAATTATCATTGTGATCTTAAAAATATTCATCTGCTTTGTCAGGAGACCAAAGCGTGATACAYATGCACACTTAATGCCTTTGGTGGTGATCTGGCTGGCACAGAAGACAATTCACCTAGGTGTGATATAGATATGCACATTACCTGGAGTACTGTGTGCAGTTCTGGGCTCCCCAGTATGAGGGATGTGGAGCTCCTAGAGAGGGTACAGCGGAGAGCAACTAAGATGATTAAGGGAATGGAACATCTCTCGTATGAGGAGAGACTGAGTGAGTTGGGCCTGTTTTCTCTGGAGAAGCGAAGGCTGAGAGGGGATCTGATTAACATGTTTCATGAAGGGAGAATGCAGGGAAGAAGGACAAGCTCTTCTCATTGATGGCCAGCGATAGGACGAGGGGTAATGGCCACAAGCTGGAGCACAGAAAGTTCTATCTCCAGGTGAGGAGGAACTTCTTCACTGTGAGGGTGACAGAGCCCTGGCACAGGCTGCCCAGGGAGGTTGTGGAGTCTCCTTCTCTGGAGGTCTTCCAAACCCACCTGGATGCCACCCTGTGCCACATGCTCTTGGTGTSCCTGCTTGAGTGGGAAGGTTGGACTAGATGATCTCTAGAGGTCCCTTCCAACCTTGAAGATTCTGTGATTCTGTGATCACAAAGTATGTTCTTCCTGCTTTTACTGGAATCGTTTTGTGTCCTTCCTGCTTAATAGAAGTCAATGAAAAAAATCACAAAATGCAGTAATTCCTGATGGTTATTGAGAGTTGGATGACACTATTTGTGAAAAGCTTGTAGAAAACTCAGATTGCCTACTCAGGAAATCTCATTGCTGTTCCTAAACCTTTACCTGAATATGAGTTTTATTTTGTGTGCTTATTAAGTGGTTTAGTTGGTGTTTATTAGTGGTTTATTAAAATTAACATATCTCTTTTCGTAAGGCTGCAATACTATCACACTGCAATTTTGGAGGTTTTTTTTCTTTTTTCATTTCCAGGTTTTACCAACCTCTAAGCAAGACAAGTCTTAGAGTTAATGACATAAACTGAGAGCAGGGTTTGGACTGTTAATTTAAGTGGGAACTATATTAAATTCCATTTTAGTGCACRTTTCAAACTGATTCTTTGTTGGTGGACAGTGTAGTCTTGCATATTAGGCTCAGAGGGCTGCAAGAGAGTCATTTGGGTAAAGAGATCGGGAAGAAGGAGAAAAAGAATATTCTTTTTATGAAATTGCAAATATTATGCCAACTGCCAGGCATAATCTGCTAAAATTGAACAGATGGAAGCAAAAGCCTGGGGTTCATCCTTCACTGCACCTTTTGCATACAGCCATCCTAAAACGCTGTGGGAATTTTATGTTGCTTGTTCATCGAAACATTTGTTTTGTAGCTTTGGCTTTACAGTTTTAACTAATTTAAACCCAGTTTTCAGATTATACAGTCTACCTAATGTATTTTGTAATCTGGAAATGCTGAAGATGAATCCTGAATAAACTCAGGTAACAATAAATTAAAATATACAATCATGACTCAGAAAAAAAGCAGAAGTTGTGGTGAAATAAATGATGTCCTGCRGTTTATTTTCCATGTGGAATCCTTTTCAGGTTTAAATTCCACAGTACTGTAGATCAGATATTAGGTATTTGGAAGGTAATAYTGTAATTTCTAGGTCTTTCTAGACATAGTTGTATAAACCATTAAAGTGCTAATTGCTTTCCTTTTGTATCTTCAGGAAAACTTTATGGCGATGAAATGTTTGTAGAGGAACGGCACAGGCATCGATACGAGGTAAGTGCTACTAAAGCTAATTTATATACTCAGAAGTTATAACTTAAGCAAATTGTTTCTCCTGATMGACAAGATTCTACTTGAAGCAAATGGGAGATTTCTGTCATGAAACAAGGTTTAATAATGCTTAGTTAGAATCATTTAGATTGGAAAAAACCTCTGAAAGTCATTTAGTCCAACTTACTGCTTGGAGAAGAGTCAGCTTCAACATTAGATTAGACTGCACAGGACTTGTCCAGTACAACTTTGAGTGTCTCCAAAGATGATGATTCCACAATGTCTTTGGACAACTTGTTCCTCCACTTAACCACTTCACTGTGAGCCATTTTTTTCTTTATATTTAACTGGAGCTTTTCTGGAGCTCATTYGTATCTGTTATCTCTCAGTCGTTTGCTGTGTGTGTCTGAGTACAATCTGTCCTTATTATCTACATACCCTCCCTTAGAAACTGAGGACAGCAACTGGACTTCACCATTTGCCTTCTCTTTCAGCAGAGGAGAGCTCCTTCAGTCTCTCCTGCCATGTTACATGTGCTCCAATCCCCTAACCATCCTGATGGCCCTCCTATGGACTTGTTCCATTTCATCAATGACTGTCTTCTACTAAGGGCCGGGAACTGAACACAGAGATGTTTTTGAAAGTGCTCATTAGTGAAGAATAACAGTGCACCAATCCAGTCATAGTGACAGTGTAGCATCTTAGTAAAGTTGTTTTGGAAAGTAATGTTGGCATGACCCAGCTTTCTGTGAAGTACTCCAAAGGTACAAGATTATAATCCTTAAGTGTATTGCTTCTGGGTTAAGTCAGGACATCTATATCTCAAAGGTCAATTCAGATCGCTTGCTTCTTGACAGTCATCCAGCTGGCCCCTGTTTGTGCATGTTCAAAGTGCTGTCATTCAAGGAGATGCACAGGAGCTGGTTACCTATGGTTAGGTATGAGGTAGTTCAGAAAGCACCTTAGTCCATTATATCTAGGAAAGCCTGAGCTATGGTGTGTGCTTGCCACAAATTTATCCAGACAACTTTAAGTTCCCTTAAAAGTTGGGCAGAGAATGTGGCAGTGGTGAAGTTCTTCAGAATTTGCTTAGTAACCCAGTGGGTAGCACATCACTTAAGGAAGTGGAACAGCATTTTCCACAGCACTTCAATCCCAAGGGTTTTGAACCACAAAACCTGTGTCCTAGACCACTGTAGAGTTTATTTTCAAGGAGAGGAAGGGGACCATTTCAAAAGAAAGAAGCACAGGCAGCCTAAAATCAGGAGGACAGCAAGTGAGGCTCTGAATTTATTATATTGTGTATATATATTGTAAGTTTTTAAAATGCAGCTCATCTCCTATTAAAAAGATTGCTCACTTTTACAGATTTTAAAACAGAGTTATTAAAAAAAGAAAGCAACTCTTTTTTCCAACTCTCTTCATTCTCACATAGCTATGAAGAGCATTACAATTGAATTGGTTAAATCAATATGTATAGCTTTTTTTTTTTGATATTTCAGGTGAACCCAGAATTGATTTGCAGCTTTGAAGAAAAAGGTTTGAAATTTGTTGGCCACGATATGGAGGGGAACAGAATGGAGATTATTGAACTGGAAAGTGAGTGGCTTATTTGTTTAGATGCACTTTAGGTATCCATGAAAAACTATGTAAACTGCAGGTAATGAAGTAACGTGTAGGCAGAAGCAGCCAGGATACTACTGGATACTGTTGAGTCTTATTTATGTATTGCAATGGATGAAGATGGAGAATATTTTAGGAGCCTTGTGCTTCTTTAGCCTTACACTTCTTCAGGACTGTGAGTGTATCTGATTATCAAAAAGACATACACTACTTTGCCAAAAGATCATAATTCTAGTTCAATGGCATCATGTATTCATATATTATCACAGAACAATTCAGAAGGTAAACTAGTCTAATCCCAAAACAGATCAGGTTGTTCAGAACCACATYGTGCCAAGTTTTGAGTATCTCCAAGCATTACTGTTGCTTGGACCTCAAACCACTCACCATTACTCTCTGAATCCAACAGTTCAACTATTTTTCAACTCACTTGGGGTCTGCCCATTAGTCCTTATGTCCTAACTTGGCTACTGGGAAACCACATCAAAAGCTGTATTAAACTTAAAATGACAGAGGGCCCTTGTTCTCCTGTCATCCGCACACTGAGTGCTACCAACTTGACAGCACCAAATTGCCTTCCTGCCCTTCAAAAGCCTGGAAATTGGAAGATTGGAGGATTTGTCTCAATCCTGCCATAAACTGAGGTTAGATTGACTGACATGCAGTTTCTTGGCTCCTTCTTGAAGATTATCAGGAACTTCTTTTGATTGCCATAATGTTTTAAAGGTAGAGAACAGCTTCATGAGGACACTGGCCAGCTCTGTCTGCACCCTCCAAGGCAGCCAGTCCCCAGAAATTAATGTGCCTGGTTTGCTTGAATATATGAAGTATATTGCGCACACACACACACACACACACATATATATATATATATGCACATATGGATGTAATGAAAGCTTAAAACATCACTGGAATACATCACCCAAAGAGGCTGTAAGCATTTAAAACTTGAAAATGACAAAGCAAAGAGCAACCTCATTTAACCTTGAATTTGATGGTGGTTTGAGTAGGAGGTGGGACTGGAGACCTCCCAAAGTTCCTTCCAAACTCAATCAGTTTGTCAGTCCTTACTCCCATACCTGTCTTTAGAATCAAAATAAAACAATTCGAAGATGAAAATCTTTCAGAAAGCAAACTCCTTTCTTTCACACATGGGATTCAGACAGATAAGCTTTTGAAATACTGTAGAAATTTGGTGGCTTTGTAGGGTTTGTACTACTTTATCAAGTCTTGTTGTCTATCTTATGAGCTTTCAAGAAGACCAACAYTGTGCATTTGCTGGTTGAATGTTTACACAGAAGAACTATGAAAAGGTCATTCTGGTTGAGCTTGAACCTTGGACTTGTTCTTTTAAATCACTCCTAGCTAGATTAATAGCAGACACCAGAAGATGCAGGTTATGTAAAAAGTTTTTTTCTTAATGGCTTCTTACTGGMATTGTCTTTGTTAAACTCCATGTTTAGAAGGAGAAATTTATTGCAAGAATGCATCGTCATCTGAGAGTGCTATTTCCGACGTAAAGTTCCTGATAAGTAATTTTATACTTTACATGTTGAATAACAGTGTTCCAATTTTGAACAGGATTTGAATACAGACATCTTAGCATTTCAGTAACTGCAACCTCTAAAGTAAACTGTGACCAAAGAATGCAGTTGAGTTCATATTAATTGCCATTATGATCTTTGTTTAGTCTGTTCCTGATGGCATGCTTCTGCTACTCGTGCTGGTGAATGGCCTTAGAAGGCTGTTTCATTTCTATGTGGAACAACTTGTCTAGAGAACATAGTGAAATAAATCAGGCTGGATTTTTAAATTGCATGTTACTGTGAAAAGAATAAAAGTAACAGTAAAACCTGGCATTACTTCACAATGGGCTGCAAAGAGACTCTAGTTATTGAGGAAAAACAATCATCAGAGAGAAGAGGATGGGATAGAGTGGAAGCACAGATACAGTAGACTAAATAGSTTTGATAAAGCTTTCAGCAAAATATGTCTACAGGACTATTTGGTGATTTGTCATGGTCTTGTTTTGCATGATAAGAGAGAAAGAAGTTATGAGATTAATTCAGAATTCAGGTTCCTCTTAAGACATATCAGCAGATGTAATAAGAATAAACTAGATGATATTTGTTACCTTCATAGAAAAAAAAAAAGTAGTCTATTTTCTTGTTACTAAGTAGTTCTTTATTACAGAGAAATTCCTTAAATGTTTGGGAAATTGATGAACTAGAAGGGAGAGCACTGTGGTTAATTTAGTCCAATGTCCTGTCTCTAGAAGTGGTTAATGGTAGCTCCGTTAAAATAGTATTCAAGGAAGGAACAGGCGCACAGCATGTACCAAAACATTAGTTCTCCTTCCAAAGAAGAAAGGAAGGAAGCAAAAGCAGCAGTAGTGAAGTAGGGTTTTGATGGTTGAAGATTCAGAGAGCTAAAGACAAGAGAAGACAAAGTAGCTTGATTCACTTAGCTTAGAAAACAGAGCTCAGTGATGACATTGTCATCCTTAAACACAAAGGACAAACAACAGGAGACCTACCGCACCTGAGAAACAGATACAAGCTGGCTGTGAAGATGATGGCCTGTGAAATAGGAAAAGGTTTCTAAACAGAAGGAGAAAGTATCTGAATAGCTTTCCACTGGGAACAAAAACTCATGGTGGGAGCCAAGGGGCTTTCACCCTTTGTGAATGGGCTGAGTTCAGTAACAGGCCTGGGATATCCCTTCCAGGCCTCAGTCTTTGAACCTTGTTTTTCCCACTTTTCTGTGTGTGTTACTTCTTTATCTGTCTGTTAGTGCATAAATACTTGCTATATGGTAAAACTTCTCCTTTAGGAACATATGCTGTAGGAATATGTGAATCCTTCATATACATATATATTCTGAATATGCATKCATAGATATACGTTTGAGACTAACACACTTTATGAAAACAATATAAGAAATGGCAAAATTGTTACCTATACAGCCTTTGTTTTTTTCGCCTTGCATTTCTGTGTTATTCTATCGTTTTATTACTTAGCCTTTGATTATTTTTCATTATCTTGCTTTTCTGATATTCTGCTTCTCTTGTCAAGTTTTTGTTCCTTTTCCACGAGAGAAAGTTCAGGTCTTCCCTCCACCTTGAATCTACATGTACTGATCTGGTTTCTAGACTCCTGTATGAAATTTTCATTAAACTTTCTGACATTTGTCTTTTAGATCATCCATATTTTGTGGGAGTTCAGTTCCACCCAGAGTTTTCCTCAAGGCCTATGAAACCTTCACCTCCGTACCTAGGACTGTTGCTTGCAGCAACAGGGACRCTCAGTGCATACTTGCAACGTGGATGCAAATTGTCTCCGAGGTAACTTTTCTTTTTTACGTGCCTGAGGATTCACAGAAACATTTTCAGAGATTTTTGCTAGGTGATCAAGTAATTAAGTGACATTCTTATTTAGTTGCATTTAAATGATTGTAGCAACAAATTTAAAAACACCAATGTTATTTTACAGTATCCAGGTAACTAATAGTGTCTAGCAGAGAAGGGCCTAATACAAAACGGTTGGGAAGTCCTTTGAACTTAACAGAAGTGTTTGGATCTAGATTAAAACTGCATGGTTGGGCCAAGCCAAAATCTTTATATTGCTGTTGTCTTGGACACCAAGTTCTTGCTGTGTTTGCTGAATGTGGCAATACTTTTCAACCTGTGTTTTTAATAGTCCTAGTGATCAAAGCTACCACTTCAGTACAATAATAATAATGAGGTCAAGGAAACCAGGATGAAATAACAATTTTTAAAAAATCATAGAATGACCAAATGCAGTACAGAACATATCCAGCTCTATTCTTATAGATACAGCACTAAGCTTACTAGATCTGTTTTATTTGAGTTGCCATTTACCTTGTTACACAGCAGGCAAACAACCTTTCTCTCTCCACCCAAGAGAAAACACTTTGTAAGCAAAAAACATTCTGAAAGAGGAGCATTTTGCAGAGAAGAGCCTTCAAGAGTGACTTTCCCTGCTAAATACAGTACAACTGCTCACATTAACATATCCACCTACTGAGGGGAAAAGATTTCCAATTTAAGCCTTTAAACCGCAGAACGCTAATGATATCTTTGAAGAGTAAAGCATGTCATAACACGATTTTTTGAAGCAAATCTGAGGTGAGGATTCTTTGCATGCCTCACCCAGTACTGCCTGCGTGAGTTGTGCTTGCGCTGGTGATTATGGCAAAGATGTAACCTGAAAAGGAATGCAAGGAGGCCAACAAGTTGAGCAGAGTAGAACCTAATGTAGGCTATGAAAACACTAGAAGGAGGGTTAAGAATGAAGTCCTGAGACAAAGGGAGTACTCATTCAGCATGAGATTATTCAGGACTAGTCACCTCAGAATATTTAGCAGCCCCATAATTAGGACACTATTTTAGAACATTTAACATGTTAAACAAAACAGAGAGTGGATTTGAAGATGCATCACACCCTTGCACACCTAAGCCGAGTGCCCTGAATATCTATAACCAAATAAACTTTCAGTTATTTTTATTCATTTATTTGGTGAGGCTTAATCTGATAGAAACACTCTGATAATACACACAAGCAAAAAAGTACCTATTTTGAAACGAGAGCGTACCCTGTGGTGTACACTGAGTTCCCAGGAGCTTTTGTGCTTACAGAGRTAGTAAGGAACTGAGCAAGCAATTGGAGTAGAGGAAGAGAGAGGAAAAATATTACTAAATAGTATTTAGATGTCCAAATATGACTTTAAGTAGCTAAGTCACTCTCGTGGCTTCACTGCTGGGATATAATAAAGTCATGTTACTGTTTTGTTTTTTTTTTCACCATAGCAAGTTTTGCAACAGGAGGTTTCATTTCTTTTCTTACCCCAGCTACACCTTGAGTAATGCCTGCAAGAGGAGGTTATGGCACATGGTTGGCATTTTGCAAATAATTAAAGAGGAACTGGAAGCACTATTAAGAACAATGAAATAATATAAAAAGAGGTAGAGAGTTTAGAAACCTGAGCTGAAAAGAATAAAACGAGGTTTTAGCTGGGGACAGGGTGAAGATAAATAATTTAAATACAAATGCCCAGTGCCCAGTAGGTAGGAGTGAGTGTGGGGAACATTCCTGTGAGAGGAGTTCCTAGGTTTAAAACTGTGGCTGAGTGAGGCTGCTGCAAAAATGGTTTTTGCAAGACATCAATGAATATGCCAAGGGAACGGACCAGTTCTACTTCATCTAGCCACAGAGTAGTCTAGTAAGGTCTGGACAGTTTATTAATAAAAGATGACTGATGAGTCACATTCAGTGACTTGCAGAAAAAGTGATCAAAGGTCAGAAAGCCTAGTGTATAAAGAAAAAGGAAAAAAAAAACAGAAATAGTGTTTACTGCATTAGCAGGGGCCAGCTGATACCCAAATCAGCTCTGTAAGAGGTTTTGGGCTAGCACCTATTAAAAAAAAAAAAAAAAAAAACAACACGAGAAGCTGCCTTGCTGACTTGTTTGGCTTGTGTGAGGGCCAAAGGAAGTACAGGCAGGGCTGTCTCGGATATCCCTGTTAGCAAGTGGGTTCGTTTTGTCTTTAAGTGGAAGGAGGTAGTGGCTGTCATGGGACTCCCACAAGATCTTGCAGAGTTGATTCAAAATTATTCTCCGGACCCCTTGAGACCTGAAAAGAGGTGGAAGAGGTGTGATGCTGACAGTTTTAAGGGTAAAGGATGTAATTAATGAAAAGGAACTATTTAATGTTTACAAGTAGCCCTAATGGGATTTGGTTAGTAAAGAGGAAGAGTGAATTGCCTCAGGAAAGATTCAGTGAGTAAGATACACTTCATAGTAATGTAATGCAGAATAAACTGTGATGTGTGACACTGGACAGAGTAAGTTAGTAGGGCAAATAGGCTAGAAGAAATTGCCCTACTTGTTCCAAGCAATAATCCACCTGCTGCACCACCCCATCTCTGCCAGTGGCTCAAACCTGACATAGCAGAGGAAAGTGAAGAGGCTGGTGGCTTGAAGATGGTCAGCACCAGGAGAGGGGCTTCCTCCCAGAAGGATGCAAGCTGGGTGCGGGGGACAGCTGCAGCACCCGCGGCAGCAGGATGCAGCACCCCACTCCCTGGGGAAGGCCAGGGCTCAGAGTGGATTGCTTCCGCCTGGAAGGCCAGGGGAGCAGCTCCGGTGACAGTGACCGCACTCTGCTCACAGTCCGGCCGGAGAAGAGCAAAGCGATGAGTCGGGTCTGAGGTGAATCCAGGAAGTCCAGGCAATACATGAGGATGGGTGGGCTGGGTATGAGCAAGCCCGCAGTGTGGCCTACCCAAGACCAAAGCCTGAGACTGAGTCGAGCTGCTGGGCCCATGAGGAGTGGGCGCCTGTGTAGAGGCTCCCCATGAGGCTGGTTGGAGCAGTTAAGAGCTATTGGTGCGCCATGGGCTCTGAGTGAAAACAAGAGAAAAAAAATAAATCCCTTCTCCAACAGAGTGGTCCGTGGCAATAAACTTAATAATGATCAGCTGTAGTAGTTTCTTCATCTATTTAACGTTAGATGCTTAATGCAAAGACCTTATATCTGAGCCAGTCACCACAGACCTTTTGTTAGTCACTGAGCAAACAGGCCCTTTAGAATGAAGGGAATGCTATTTTAAGATAGAGTAGCTTAGAGATATTATGCCTTAGAAGTGTCCATTTCCTTCCATTGACTGTCAAAAAAACCTATGGTAGCTAGCGTGGATGAAGATAAAACTGTATAAATTAATCCCACGCATAGGACTCAGCTGAATCTGAGAGGTTTTATTCCTTCCAAAGATATTCTGGCCTCTTTGTTTTGGTATTTTGTAATGTCTAATGAAAAGGAGATCAGGGCTTGGACTAGATGACCTCTGAGGTCTCTTCCAACCTTAAGCATTCTATGATTCAAAACATTATCCTAGGTCCATCTGGAAGTGCAAGTACCTGGCAGGAGTGGGAAGTAGGTATGTGCTGAGGGGCTTCACTGGTGAAATAATGTTTCGTTTAGACCTAAGATCACTAAAGGGATGATACATAGTGCTGCTCTATAAAGATAGCTAAGGTGTACTGAGAAATACAGATGCCTGCAATTATAATAATTGTGTAATCAAGTATGTATTTATTTTAGATATTGTTTTAGTAAGTAGAATAATTCAGATTTCTTTATGGGGGATTAAATATTCTAATTGACTCTTCTTTTAGGTTGTAAAAAGGTAGAAAGGTAARTATATTTTTTAACAGCCACAGTCTGTATTAAATCTAGTTACATCTCTTTTCAACTTATATTGATGAAAAATTGCTTAGCTCCTGCCTTTGCAGAAGTACTATTACTGTAACAGTTTAATCTGTTTATATCTCTGCAAGAAGGCCTTTTTCTCAATTATACATGAAAAAGGACAAAAAACCTTCTGAAATTGTGTCAAATAATTTTGTTTTTAAAGACCACGTTGGAACATTGATCAGGATTTTCCAAATGGAACAAAAAGGATTTGAAGAGTACCCATTTCACAATTGCTCCTATTTCTGAATAAAAACATTTAAAGCGGGCAGTTCGGCACTTTAGGGCAGCTATTGAGAAATACTTATTTAAAATTGATCTTGACTCTTAATTCTAGTATCTTTGCAGCTGATATTGTTTGCTGAGGTGATGTATTCCAGCTTCAAGCCACATGTGCCCAGCTACCAGCTGACTTTTGTGAAATGATGATAGGAAATGTTCTCATCTTGCCACCTTCTGCATGCATTAGACTGACTGATGGATAGCAGGGGTACATCAGCACTTCTGTCAGTAGAATAAAGAGGTCTAGAGTAGACATGAGTTTGGTGATAACAGAGCACATGTAGGAGGATGCTTTTATTCTTGTGTCCTGATAAAACAGGGATGAGTCAACCTTAAAACAAAACAGAAACCCATCATGTAATAGACAGATTTTTTTTTCCTTAGTCCAGTCTGGAAATATAATGCTGCAACTTTTGCCCTGAGTAGTATTTCACTTTGCAGTGAATGTATTTCCATTTACTACAGCTAGATTAAATAAGGATCACAGTGACCAAAATTCTTCATCTGTATGCTGTTCGGGGACAGTCTTGAAGACTAAAGTGATTGACCAAACACAGTGATACCCCATGTGGTATTTTATTGGTTTTCTCTTGGCTGTATCCCTATCCTCCAGATCCCCTGAAAAGAAAAATGCAATTGAACTGCTACAGTGTGGCCATAGAGCTGGTCACTAGTCCCTTTTTGCTGTGGGAGTCCAGTCTTGCCAGAACAGTTAAAAGCCAGGTGAAGTGAGTGTCAGGATCATGGCCACAATATTTATTAAGTGATGTGTACACAAACTAAGAGAAAACTTGCTGAAGGAAATTTAAGCACATATTTTCAGTTGAAGATTCAGTGGGAAAAAAAATCATAAGAGTGAGGCTTATTTGATTATTTTTTTCACTGCTTTTGTAATTGCTATATTTAAATAGGATTTATACAGAACACATGATATTAGCAGCCATGACCATAAATATCCATTTGATTTTTATGTTTAATATCTGTGTAGCAGTTCAGCTTAATTTGGAAGAAAGTACACAATTACTCCTAAGAGAAGTGATGTTTCTTTTGTGGTTAACACCACACAGAGTGTTTCTGCATTTTTTTCCAGTTGAATACAGTTCACATCATAGTAAATCTTAGAAATTTGACATGAGTATCGATATGAAGCTGAAGTACCCAAATCTGCCATGATTCATGAGTCCCTGTTTGCTTTCAAGTTCACCAGCAGCTGCTCAGTTCTGGAAGGAGTTCAGGTTTCCATGGAGCCTGAATTCCTCTCATTAACATGATGCTACAGCTTCTGGGGCTGCTGGGGGCTCTCCTTCAAGCAGATGAAACCTTGAGAGCCTCAGGGAGAGTCAGATCCTTGTGGCCTGCTCACCCGCTCCTGTGCTCTTTGCTAGAACAATGCAGGGGTGAGGAACAGGAAGAATTCTGTGCCTGTGTCTTATCCTGTGTTTCCTTTTGCCCTAAATTGACTCAACACCCAGCAGAGCAGCTCCTAAACAGAGGAGACTGTGAGAATGCCGCAGAAGAACGTAGTGACAAAGACTGTCTCCTCAAGGGGAAGAGTGGTGATGAGATCTTGGGTGGAGAGCGATGCCTGACTGCCTTCGGGAGATTAAACTGGGTAGTTCTCAGGTCACTTCATTGCTCTCGGCATTTTTACTGAGGCTCCTACAGCAATCTTAAGCGTCCTACTCGATTGCATAGGGAGTTCTGGCRGGTATTTGGGGCCTCTGAATGTCACTGAGCATCAGAGTCCATAAAAAATATATAGAAAAAAAATACAAAAATGTACTGCAGCACTTAGCTGTCTTTGAACCAAAACCAGGTTTATAGTGCAACTGGTGCAATCAGTAATTCTRTGCTGTGGTGTGTGAACTGTTTTTTGCTATTTTGTTGTTATGTAAAAATGCAAAACTGTCTTAATAATGCTGAATTTTTATTCCATGTTTCCATGGGTACTTTCAGAAAGAAGTAAGTACAGTACCAGTGATRTTTCGTGTGTGCGTACATCTGGCATGCTTGATCATACTGTTAACAACACTTTCCTCACTTGAGCTCTGTAATTGTTTGCCAGCTGGTGAGATGATCAACTTGAGCATTTCTAGTTAAAATGCTCAATTTTGGTTAAAATATCAAAACTCACGTGATCTGCTCTCTACAAGAGCAGCATTAACAACATGTATGTAATGCAGAGAATATATTGGGTAAAGTCTTAACAGATGTTGAAATATTTGGAATATCAACTTGTACAGAATTTGCTGTAGTTGTGAGAGGCTTTCCTAGCATTCTGAGGTACAATGGTGCTGCTTACACTGTCCCACTCCTTAAAATAGCTGTGTTTGGACTTCATCTCTTTATCTGCAATGATTCTTTTGCAAAGAGGAGAAGATGAGATTCAGGCTGAAAAGCAGTGTTCAGTAAGAAACACTAGTGACATTTGTCCAACTRTTCCTAATAAATAAATCCTAATTCTAAATCCTAGATTCTAAATTGTTTGGAATCTAAATGATCCAAAAAAAAAGTCTAGACCAAAGCTCTCCAGCTGTGGGGTTAGGCAGCATTGCACAGCAGGCAGCCACTGGGGGAGTTGCCGGGAATGTGGTGCTCTTGATGTCCCAGTGGGAGGGACGTGGCCAGAGAGAGGGAGACTTCCGTGGCTGAGCTGCTGTTGGAAGGAGTCGTAGTTTGCGATAAGAGCGGTGGGGTTTGACGTGCGGCGAGGCTGTCACGGGCAAACCCACACGAACCAGGTGTGAGCCCTCGAGGGCTGTTGGTCAATCAAACCCTGCTCTCTGAAGTACCCAGAAGGGAGCAGAGTTGTTGCAGGTCACAGGCACTTGGCCTCCCCGAGCTGGAGCGGGATCAGGGCAGGCTGAAGAGGGGGGTTCCTCCAAGAGGTGCCATTTGTCATTTAGAGGAGATAAGAGAGAGCTAGAGACCTGCTAGTCATCCCTGGTCAGAGACTGCACGGGGCCCTGCCCTTCTTACCGAGAGCGTGGTTTGTGAATGGTTCTTCTCCTCAGTCACTGTGATGTTTCCCGTCCCTCACCCTTTCCTCGTCTAGCCACTCACAAAACTATCACTTGCATGGCAGTCCCTGTCCTGTGGAAACTAGTGCACTTGTGGCAGGAAACAGTTGAAGGGGATAAAACCTCGGGGAAAACTGTTCGAATGCTGCTTGGTGCAATGTAAATGATTTATGTTCTGAGTCTGGAAGAGCATGAATTGTAATTTAAATATAAATTGAAGCTTTCAGAGTAAAGAAAGCTACAGTTGTCTTAATTTTTTCTTTGATTAAAATGGTCATTTTTTATCATAAATGAGAAATTCATTTTAGTCTTATGCTGAGCAGCTGCTATTCTCCATACTGTTAATTGTGATTGCAGGCGCACCACCAAACATTCAGTATCCAAGAGAGATATTGAACATACTATTTAGATGGTGGGTTATTGTTTCTCATCAGTTCTTAGACCACAAATTTAAGCCCATTCTTGCTGAGAAGGGCATTATAAAATATCAAATTTTATGAGCCTAAAGTAATTTTCTGGAAATAGGTTGCATTTGAGGAAAGTGTTTGTCATGTGCATCTTCTGGGTTGGAGGGTTTGAAGTAAAATACTTATTTTAGATCCTATTCACTGATGTTTTATTTTTAACAGCGACAGCTACAGTGACCTCAGTGATGACAGTTCTCCAGAAAAAGAGTTTCCCAATTCAAGAATAAGCTAAAATGATTGTATGAGACCACAGAAGTGGGTGATGCTATTCAGGTAAACTGGATTTTTGATACTGCTTTATGACATTTATTTCTTCTTGATTTACGGGAGGATACAGAGTGATCTTGATTCTCCTTTTTGTTTCAAATCTTGTCTGARAGCTTATCTCTTCTTCCTTGCCTGCAGCACTTAATTGTACTGTTTTTCTGCTGCTTAACTCTGCAATTGTATTACCAAAGTTTGCTGAGCATTTTGGATACAGCTTGTGTGTAAGATGCTCTACAAAAACAAGTTGCATTAATGTTTGAAGATTCAATGAAAGTACAGTCAAAAAATATGCTTTTCTGTTACTTGAATTTGCATACTTGGATCACTGAGTACATCATACTAACATGGCATTTTATTTCATCTTTATATTCTGCTATAACTGATGCAACTGATTTGATGCATTGTTATAGCAAAGGCATCCCAACACAAATAATTGRATTTAATCTACATTGAGATGTAAGGAAATTTTATAATGTTACAGCTTTGTTGGCTGTAGGCTTTGCCAATTCCTTCTGGGGCTAGATGCTTGCCAGTAAAGATGGCAGCCATAGGTTTCCTTTTAGTTTGGAGATCGTGTTTACTTGGAGCTCCCTGACCTCTGCAGGCTCTGTGCACTGATTCATCACCACATTGTGGCTGATGTGGTACTCTGATCCATGTGTCCATTCATGCTGTGTGGTATTTCTGAGCGCTTCTGTGTGCAGGAAACAACTTTCTGCTCCTCTGATTTCATTGCTTCACATGGTGTAGTCACTAAGCAGCTATGCCAAACAGGTGATGAAGGCTGCATGTGAATGATGCATCTCCATCTGATGGCTGCATGGTTGAAATGTTGACCTGAGATGGTAGAAATCTGAGTTTTGTCCTTAGCCACAGCAAAGGCTTCTTCTGTGAATTGTAATTGGTTTCTTCTCTGTCATGTACCTCATGTTAAATAAAGTCTCCAGATCATGAGAATGGAGAGGTGTTAAGTAATCCCATGGATCTGCATTCAGATACAGTTTAGATGCCTGTCTTAAGAATGACCAATAACTAAATAGACAAAATGCTCCGTAAGGAGCACTCTTTTTGCACAGATCCTTCCCATTCCCAGGCATCACTGTGGCTCCATTTGCTGAGACTGGCATCTAGTTTGTGATAGCCCCTTTAGCTTTAGCTTTGACTTTGCATTTCTCAGTGGAATGTACGAATGTCAAATCTCTTTTAACCCTTGCAGATGTGACTTTTTCAGCCTGGAAAAAAAGTACTTTTGTGATGCTTTAAAATAGTTAATGGTAGTTATTAACAAGCAGTAATTAGGTACCAATTGTATTCAGCAGTGTTACTCTAGAAAGGGGTAAATAAGTAATTGCAGGTATAAACACGTGGAAGTAAACATTGAATGATTTATTTTTTCTTTCAGGGATAATTCCACCCAGTAATCAGAGCTGTATACGCAGAAGACTATATTTAGATTTGTGGGTTTGCTTTATGCTCTTTGACCTAGATAAATGCATCTGTGTCGAATATTTACCATAGCATTATTTCTAAGTCAGTCATTGGATTTGAAAGAAATTGATGCAAACATGAGGTAAATAGTTTCAGAAGGAATTTTAATAATCATCAATTTTTTCTTTTCCTTCTTCCCTCCCTCCTTTTTTTTTTTATTTTTTAGAAAGTTGAAGCAGGACAATATTGTACAGAAGAAAGTAGAAGTTGCTTAACTTCCTTATGGTATCTTCCCCATGCTATTTTCAAAAAATCTCTGTACAGAAGAAAATTGTATTGTCCCATAGCAAAAACTTTTCAGTATGTGTGAATTCTGTTTCTCTTTCAAATTATATAAATGACTGTTTGTCTTAGCTGTTAATTGTTAGTGATCTTGTCCTATATTTCAGACTGATCTCAGGTGAATRTGTCTTAGTTCACTAGCTCACAGCTGTCCTTGATTTGCAGGAAAGATTCTTTACTTTCAGTTGGTCTTAGAGCAGTAAAATAAAATAGATTCATTCTTGTGAATGAGGAGGAATGAATAAAAACGTTAAGAGAAGGTTATCCATGAGGAGTAGGGAATTGTCTCAGGTTGTTTCTGTATTAAGCTTGTTGTGTGTGTGTATATATATATATATTTTTTTTTTTTTTTTTTACTTTTTTGCCATTCATGTACAAATGAGAAATTATGTCACTTTATGTCAGCCCTATGTGATGATAATAACTGATGTTTGAACGTGCATGTCTTTTGACTTTGCTTCTTAGGTGATTTTATTTTGCAAAAGTTGAAGTTTGTTTGCTCTGTTTGCCCTGAAAGTCTGATAATTCTGAACATAACACTGACCTGTTAAATTACAGAAGTGGTATTAGAAGTCATTTTTGTATTTGTATTTTGTATTTGGAAGAGAGAAAGTAAATACATTCAATGCAATCGTGTGAACATTATAGAAGAACCACTAATAAATCTGGAGCATAACATAGGGTCAGCCTCACAACACAAAACTAATGTCAATAAATAATTACAAAGATGGATTAAAGTTCATCCTTGCTCTCCCTTATTTATTGACTACTCCATGGGGCCCATTTCCAAGCAGGACAAAACAATGTATTTTAATTCAGAAGCCACTTCCCTTCGCTGTGACAAATGGAGGGCATCCTGCAAAGGTGCTGTCCGTGTACAAGGCTGGATCCTCCCAGCAGTCTGATGTCAACAGTTCTCTCGCAGAGTCTAGACCTAAACTGCGGTATGACAGACCCAAATGCCAGAGGCACCTTTTCTTAAAAAAAAAAAAAATCTGTAATTTGAGCTTTATCTTTCTTTTTTTTTTTTCAAAGTCTTTTTATTTGACCAAAAAGTAAGTATCTGTACAGAAATAAAATGCACCTGGTACCCTTTACTTATCTTTAGAACAGTGAGTTTGCATTGCCTTAGAAAAGCACAAATTAGACAACCAATTTCTCTGTTCGCTAGAAGAAGCATAAATGGTAATAAAATATGAACTGTGCTTCCACAGGAGTTTTTCTAAAGCGTTTTGCAAATATGTGCCTTAGAAACAGCAGGTATTAATGGAGTACATATCGCTGTATGTCTTTTTGCCAGTGAGAGACACTGGTCACTGGTTTGTAAAAGATAACGCATTTCGTAATACTGTCCATAATGTTAAAATATATTTTCAAATATATTAAAATGTGTTATATGGAAGTGTCTAGATACTGTGTTAAAGAGTCATGATGTCAGTTGTAAACTGTGGGGTTGTGGAGAGAGTTTTCCATTCAGTCATGTTCCAGTTGTATTGTCTATAACTGTGGCCCCATCTGTTCATCTGATTTGTCTGTTCCTGGTTCATCAAAATGAAGCAGGAGGAATTAAGACTTTTGGTATCCCAGGAAACAATTAAAAGCTGTGCTACAGAGAAATTGCAATTGATCCAAAATGCAGAAGGGGGCGGGGGGAAGACATAGAGCATGTGATATAACTGAAAACAACACCTTATCTCCCAGAGCCTGTACCAACATCTTCTTGCTAAATGTGCAGCTCAAAAGACTCAGTCTTGGATATCAAACACATCACTGCCACAAGGGCTTCCTCTCCAAGCKGGGCTGGCAAAAGCAGCAGAAAGTCATTTCCAAAATTGATTTCTGTATCCTTTCACTTCCTTGCAAGGGAAGGAGTGAGAGGGTGTGTTTCAGTGTTCAGTATCTTGCTCTTTTCATTTACCTGCTCCTGCAGGGTTTGGGATGCTTATTTTTCCCTACTGGTCAGCCCACATGGATTGCATGGTGGGCTGTCCCCAGGCTCCTACACTAGCCCAGACCCCTTAATATCTCAGAGATGCTAGAATCAGCCAGCATTGCCTGTCTCAGTCAGTTTATTAATTTCACTTAAATTTGTCTCTATCTCTTTTTCCTGGCCTCACTTCCATTTGCTTTCATGACTTTTATCTCCAGCTTTTCCTATATTCTTCCCAAAGTGTCCACCCTTCCTTCATATTGTATATGCATACTGTCACTGCCACCCCCTGCCTTCCAACATCCACTCTCTTCCACACAAATACAGGGTACCACTGTAATGCTGGCCAGTATGCCCTGTCATGGCAGAAGYAGCTCATGGGTCTGTCCTGGCTCGCACGCAGGAGGAAACCTGTGCTCTTCTCGCAAGCGGCTCAGGCTCAGTCTTGCAGACTCCTTGAGGTCTCAGAGCCACAAATGTAACTGAGGAATGAAAGCGGGTCATGTCGGGCTCTCTGGCATGGTGAAATCTTCCTCGTCACCAGGTGGGTGCAACCTGATCACCCCAGAAAGCTGGGTCGGTGCCCCAGTGTGCCTGTTGCCCAACACGGTGCTGGGGGCACTTGCACAGCGGTGCCCTGCAGGCTGCCTGAGTTCTGTGGTTGACCGCAGAGGGCTTTACCTTAGAAGAGACTGGAAAGCTCGTTTTTAGAATCACTGTATAATAGGAACACTCTGTTGCAACCATGGCCTATTCTAGCTGCCCTGATTTCCCCAAGCCTTTCCTGATTCTCCTAAGCCTTTCCTGATTCATTTGAGTATGAACTGCCACAGTTTCACAGCAGTATTTTCCTCCCAAATGGCTTATGATAGTTACCACTTCTCAGCTAGTGGATGATCCTACATCTGTCAGCACCAGCAAGAGCAGAAGAATGTGTCAATGAGGCTGTAAGAGCTCGTAGTTTTCAAGCTGAAAAGCAGCAGGGAGTAGGTGTTTCTGGAACTGGCACTGTGACCAGAATCATCAACAATGTTTCATCTAACAGCATCCTGTTCAGCATTCAGCAGTCCATGTGGTCTACAGTTTTCCACTGCTTCAAACATCCCCAACAACACATATGCATGGTTTATGAACTCTTGTTCTGACATGGGGACTTGATGTATTTCAACACACGTATTGAAATTGATTTTCTCGCTACGACAGCCATGTATAAGGCACTTCCAAAAATGAAATGCAGCTTTAGAAATTGTCTAACGCTCAGTTCAAACCATGTTCTCACCTTAAGGTGAGAATGGACCTCTAGAGATCATCTAGTCCAACCCCCTGGCTCAAGCAGGGACACACAGAGCACGGGGCACAGAGTGGCATCCAGGTGGGTTTGGAAGACTTCCAGAGAAGGAGACTCCACAGCCTCCCTGGGCAGCCTGTGCCACGGCTCTGTCACCCTCACAGTGAAGAAGTTCTTCCTCACATGGAGATGGAACTTTCTATGATTCAACTTGTATCCATAATATGTTCCAATATGGCAAAATTGAAGTGTCTAAGACAAGTATTTTATGAAGAACTTTCACTTCTTAGAGAAAGAAGATATGTGATTTAATTACTCCATGTGCTGAATGTGTCCTTTAGGTAAAACTCCTTAAAGTTCTCTCTTTCCTGCCTAGAGTGTTGGATGATGAGTTCAAAGTCATCAGTAATTGCAAATGAAGCATAGCAATCACACACAGCCCATGATTAGATTTATCATGGRCTAAAGAGAGAAAAACAAGTGAAAAGCCAGACCTTCCATACTTAGTTTAGGAACTCTCACAAGCACAGTCCAAAGCATTGGCAGAGKCTGAAGTTTGAAGGAATGTTACATTTTGAAGCAAAATGCTTGTGAAATGGACTTCTGTGTAATTTGAGATCTCCCATCCTGTTTGAATAGACCTTCAGTGGAAATGTGTTCCTTTCCATTTTTACGCTTACAGCAATCTAACAGAATCATAGAATCATAGAATGCTCAAGGTTGGAAGGGACCTCAGAGGTCATATAGTCCAACCCCCCTGCTCACGCAGGGTCACCTAGAKCACRTGGMACAGGGCTGCGTCCAAGAGGGTTTTAAAGATCTCCAAAGAAGGAGACTCCACAACCTCTCTGGGCAGCCTGTTCCAGTGCTTTGTCACCCTCACAGTGAAGAAATGCTTCCTTAAGTTCCTGTGGAACTTTTGGTGCCTCAGCTTGTGGCCGTTTCCTCTAGTCCTATCAGTGTCCACCACTGAAAAGAGGCCRGCCCCCTCCTCCTCACTCCCTCCCTTGAGGTATTTATAGACACTGATCAGGTCCCCCCTCAGCCTCCTCTTCTCCAGGCTGAACAGGCCCAGCTCTCTCAGCCTTTGCTCATATGGCAGATGTTCCAGGCCCCTGATAATCCT